GCAGAGCAAGCAACTTGACCAGATGTATAGGTGCCTCTCTGGAAAAAAAAAAAGCACAGGAAGGAAGTGACAGCTTACTTCACCCTTAAGAAGCATCCTTTGGGGTTTTCTTTTCAGTCATTTCTATCAAGAAGGCAGACATTTCCCAATTTTGAAATGAATTTCTTAGCCAGGTTAAGTAAAGTTTGGTGAAAAATTGCTGCAGGTTGCACCACGACGCTGCACATTTATAGATGGATTTCTTATAAAATGGAAACAAAAGAGAATTTTCAACAAAATAATCACACATATTTTATTCAATTAAAATATTGTAATATTTGTCTCAGATATAATGCAAGCTGCCAAGAGTTGTTCTATTGGCGAGATAGGATGTGATAAATAAGCAAAGCCAAGTTTTGTTGTTGTTCCCACCTATAGGGAAAATTCAAAATAAAAAAGGAAAACAGGTGAAAGTGTGGAAAATTCCCTGGACTGCATACATGGGGTTCTATGAAACTGTGCTTTCCCTAACCTCTGGGAGAAACTTACAGTAGTTTTACTGTAAGAGCCTTCTCAGTCAGGGCTTGTGACTGGACCATAAAACAAATTTATTTCTTCAATTATCACAGTTCTTTTGTTTCTTCCAAGTCTGGCAGTATGGGAATTCCTAGGAATCAGGCTTGTTGTGGTGGCCTCTTCAGGCGTGTCTGTTCTTGCACATAACCGAGTCAGTTGCACAGCACCAGCTTATTTTAAATATTTGCTATTGACTTTTAACACAATAATTAAGCATGATAATGAAATGATTATAATACATGAGATTTTCATGAGGGCATATTCATGTTAATTAAATTTAACCCCATTTAAAGCAATTCTTTCTTTCAGCATATATGTACGTGTGGATATACACACACACATGCTGTTTCTTGACATTGCTATTTGCTTCAAGCATAAAAACAGGGACTTGGTGTTCTTCTGGATAAACCTGTGTGTTTTCCTATATGGGAAATGGAACAATGGTTTAGACTTCTGGCAACACAACCTTTTGCACTTTTAATCTCTCCTGAGCTTGAGGAACTGACATCCTGCAGGGTATATAGCCTTCCAACTTTATGGTTGAAATTAATTGCATTAGGCTCACTGTTCTAAACAAGCCGATATATAAATAAAGGAAACAAAGCATACAATTAACATTTCCACAAATCATAAACTCCTCGTATGGCTGTGTCAATACCTCTTTCTAAGCTTAATTGTTCCACAAGTGGTTGAGATACAGCTATGTTTGCTGCCAAAAGGTGGGTACCTTGGCCCTTTTATTTATATTCTAGTGTACAATAGATTAAAATGCTGAAATAGGCCCCTCAGTGACCGCTGTACTTATGAGACAATGCTAGGAATAAAAAAAAAATCAGCCTATGAAAGTAGTGTAGAAAATTCAGCAAGGACCTCATCTACTACATTAGACGGAACAAGGCCTTGGATTCGAGTTGGCTCTGCTAAATGGTAGGTCTGCTGCTTCTCTACAGGTAGTCCTCATTTAGTGACTGCCTGGGACAGAAACATTTGCAGTTACAACGTTGATGAAAAAAAAGTAACTTTGCAACCAATCTTTGCATTTATGACATTCAGAACTTTAAAGCAGAGGAAAGCTGAAAGAAGATTGTGAGCGCGGTAGCAGTTGCACTTAGCAATTTCTTACTTAATGATTGAGTTACTGGTCCAAATTGTGGTCGCTGAATGTGGACTGCCAATAATGGAGAAGAGAGTAGAGCTAGAATATATTATAGAGCCTTGGCTCAACAAGCTATGGGAGACAGATTTTGAGTTGTACACCAGCCACTACAGCAAGGTCAGGAAATGGAGGAAGGATGGCCATCATATACAGTGAGAATGAGATGTATTTTTCCTCTGAATCTGAAATCACTGTAAGTGGTTAACAAGCATAAAGTGAGGAGTACTACTTGTATATTGGCCTATGTAATATACTGTAGTTTCCCTCCCTAAGAGCTTCATTTCATTGCCAGGCTGGTGGTCTCCCAAAATTTGTTTACTGGACCTGGATGAGTGTAGTGTACTTCTACTACTGTTGCATCTCTAAATGATACTCATCCAATGGTGTTGACCATGGTATCATATTGGACTATCTATTAAAGACTGGGGGTTAGGACACTGTTTTTTTTTGAGTAGGGGGTGCCATTTGATGTTGGTGGGAGAGAGGAGTTTGCTGTTATATATCTCCACCCCCAGGCTGAGTAAAAGAGGTGGTGAAAGTCTTGACCTGGAGCCTTCTAGTTTCTGTTGATACAGAACAGGTACTATGGATGATCCATTTGTAGATCTTGATGGAATTGCACTTTATTTGAAGCAGAGGTGATATTCAGCAGGTTCTGACCAGTTCTGGAGAATCAGTAGTGGAAATTTTGAGCAGGTTGGAGAACTGGCAAATACCACCTCTGACTGGCCCCACCCCCATCTATTCTCTGCCTCTCGAGTCCCAGCTGATCAGCTGGGTCTTCTTTGGTTGCCCCGCACAGGAGAACAGAGCTGGAAAGCAGGTTAGTGAGAGTGGGGAGGGAACGGAATTTTGCAGTGACCTTCCCCTGAAGTTGGGAGGGAATGGAGATTTTGCAGCATCCTTCCCCTGCCATGCCCACCAAGCCACGCCCACCAAGCCAAACCCACAGAACTGGTAGTAAAAAAAATTGAATCCCACCACTGACCTTAAGGATTGACTGTATAGTATGTGGGGTCTTCTGGATTTCTGGCTCCTGCTAGAACAGCAGATAGAAACTGTAGCTAGGGAAATTTTTGGCCAGCTTTGTGTGTTGCACCATTCGCTATAGTTTCTAGATGAGAAGGTTCCGAATACAGTGAACCATGCTGTAATCAACTCCTGGTTAGGCTTCTGCAATCTGTTGAACACAGAGCTGCCCTTGACCCTGGCCTGGAAGTGACTGGCCTACAAATGGCCTACAAATGACACAGAATGTGGCTGCCTAGTTTGTGACTTAGTAGCAGAGTCATCTCCATCCTGTGGGAGCAGGCCAGTTCACCAGTAAGCTTCTGGCCCCAACTCACAGTGGTAATGTCACCTACAACTCCTTTTATGGATTAGCGTCTTGGTACCATTGAGGTGGTCTGCTTCAGGTAGAAGCTACCTGCTCAATATACAGCATAATGGGAAGCAGCATCTAGCAGATTATGTGACAGAGAGTGATATTTCTGATGCTGTCTCCTCATCCAGTCGGAAAGCCACCCACTCTGAATACTTTGGTTATATTAAACCACCCAGTTCTGGTTGCAAACAGGGCTCTTCTGCAGGGAAAACTCCCCTTACAGGGAGAATATGGAATTAGATTTCAGTTGATTATTGCACTACTGTTTTAAAAGTATTATTATATTTACATATATTGTAGGACACTTTGAGTATTGTAAGTATGTGGTATGCCAATGACCTGATAATTCATTTTTTTAAAAATCTGGAACCCCCTTTCCCCCCCTCCACATTTTTAGGAAATTAAATTGCCAAAGAGTGGCTGGATTGAGAAGAAGGTGAATAAGAAGGAGTAGCTGGAAGCAATTGATGAGATCCAGCCACTCTGTGCAGGCCTGGACTCTTGGTTTGTACTGTGCGTATATGATGGAGTTAAGTACTTTTTGTAAGTATAGATGAGTTTGGAGAGGCATGGTGAATGGGGTTGTTGTAAACCTGGTTTAGAGTTTCTTTAAAAAAAAAAAAAGAATCTTGTGCTTTTAAATATCTTTGCTTTACCACATTTTATTATTTTTGCTTTCCATGAGTTTATTCTGAGAGAGAACAGCGTGCCCAGTATATGCTTTTTTTTTTTTTTTAATGGTCTTGCATGGTCCTAGTCTTCGGCATACATTAGTCTTATTGTGCCTGAAGGTCTCTGGAGCACCCAAAGCCACCCGGATCGTGTGTGTGTGTTGTGGGGATCTGAATTCACCCGCCCAGCATCAGGGTCTCCTCCTCTTAGCCTCCCGCCAATTGCAACGGATCTGAACAGCCTCCATTCTGCGAGTAAACAACCCACTTTTAAGCAGGTCTTTAAACTCCTTTAAACCGTCTTCACGCCTTGCGTTGTGCTTCTTGCAGATAATAACATTATCTGATGATTTTCCTGTTCCCCTTTCATTCCAAAGCCCCGCCACGATCGACTGAAGGGACGATCTACTGGCGGTCTGGAGTTTTAAAACCGATCTGAAACGCGGATTGCGATCTCTCGCACGGCGCTCGACGCTCACACCCTCCACCCGCACATCCTGCCTGGCTCACCACGGCCGCACCCCTCGCTCCCCCCCACGGCCTCTCCCGCGGGCACACACCGTCGCCCCACGCGCACGGGTGGCTCCATCCCACCACGCGAAGGGGGAGCTGGGTCCCGAGGCGGGCCAGATCGGGAAGGCACAAGAGACGCTGCGTTGGCCTTGAGAGGTCGGAGGAGGGACACTTCAAGAAACCCCCACCAAAACCCACCGCGGGCAGCAATTCCCTCCCCCCCCCTTTTAGCTTGCACTTCGAAAGTCCAGCTGTGTGTGGGGGCTTGGACTGCGAAAGACCAGCTGTGTAGGAGGGCCTTGGACTGCGAAAGTCCAGCTGTGTGTGGGGGCTTGGACTCTGAAAGTCCAGGTGTGTGAGAGGGGCTTGGACTGCAAAAGTCCAGCTGT